TAGAGCAAAACTGCTCTCACCGACGCGTTGTAGATCCGACATTTTACGGCCAGACTGACATCACGAAGGCGCCAAAGATGGCCCAGATTGGCATAAGCCGTTCTGGCTTTCACTATACGTGTATTGATCTCATCACTCACACCCCCACCAGCACTTATGCAGATACACGAACTTCTCAACTACTTCTATCTGCTCACCATCCAGGATTAGGATCCTGCCAGTCTTGTAGAAGTACTTTGCACTTCGAAGGTGCAAAGCACATACCGTACCTACGGACACTGATTGCCAACTGATTAAGTGCGGATTGCATGCCTTGGGCATTATCGCGCAGTAAGACAATGTCATCCGCATACTCAAGGTCGGAAAATGTTTCTCCAGGCAACAGATCCACACCACCATTACTTACATTCATCAGAGCTGTTTCCAGAATGTCATCGATGGCAAAGTTGAAGAGGAATGGTGAGATTGGGCAACCCTGCCTAACCCCACTACTCGTATAGAACAATGGAGAGAGGTGGTTGTATGCCCTCACTCTGCCTGAGGTGTTTGTATATAGGGCTTTTAGGATGTTAATAAACTTCTCAGGCACACCCTTCTTCAATAGACAATTCCAGAGAACAGTCCTATCCAACGAATCGAAGGCAGCCCTGATGTCAAGAAACACTACGACTGTTGGCTTTTGATAAGTATGGCGGTGTTCTAACATTTAGCGGAGGGTGAAGATATGATCAATACAAACGCGACTAGAACGAAAGCCAACCTGCTCCTCGCGAGTCAATCTTTCTCGGGTTTTGAACAACCTACGAAGTATGACGGAAGCCAATAGATTGGACGCAATCGGAAGTAGACTTATACCCCGTTAGTTGTTACAGAAACGACGTGAACCCTTTTTAAAGATAGGGACAACTATCGACTCATTCCATGATATTGGTACACTCTCTAGCTCCTAAAGCTTCGTAAACAACGTCGTCAGTTCCTTAGCCAGAAAGAAACCACCATCTTTAAAAAGAGCCGGAGGTAAGTCATCTGGGCCAAGTGATTTGTAGCGCTTCAAGAGTTGGAGTTCCTTGCGGGATTCCGCCCCATTTGGTGAATCAGTCGTCACCGGCCATGGAGCGCAGGACAGTCTGACAGATGTTGCCGAAGCAGAAGGCTAGTTTAACTGCCCTTCGAAAGATTCCGCCCATTGTCCAAGACGTCGATGGATGTTAGTGATTGGCGGTAGCTGATCGCGATGTGATCGATCTGAGTCCAGGCTTGAGATGCAGAGGGAGGACGCCAGGTGGCACATCGGCGATGACTGTGCCGAAAGTTAGTGCTAGCCAGAAACAGGTTGTGGTCTGTGCATAGTTGCAGTAGACGGTCCCCGTTATCTGTCCTGCGACCAACAAATCCCCATCGGCCACCTACACGACTCTCTTTTGATGGAACTATCTAATCTAACAGCACATAACCGACTGTTAATGGGGATCCAATCGATTAGTGCTGCCTCAGCTCTAGCGCTTAGTGCGACATCAACGCCAACAAGACCAGACGAAGATGCAACAGGGTTTCCGGATAAGCGCACATAGAACAAGCTTTTCGAAGCGACAGATGGAGATCGAAATTGTAGTACTTCATCAGAGTCTTGAATACGGGTCTCGGATAGACAGCAGACATCGATATTAAGGCTTTCCAAAGACATGGCCAGCCCTATCTGTTGTCCGACATGCATAAGTGTGCGAACGTTGAAGGCAGCCAGTTTGAATGGTGCACGTGGTTTCAGAAAAACTACTTCAGTACTCATATTCGGTGGTAACATACAATTTTCAACTGGACAGTGACTCGAGAACGTTTAGATACAGTCGAATTTCCACATTAACGAGCTGCTGTATAAGTCGAAAAAATAAGTATAGACGGAGTAGGAATAAAAGAGGGTGAATAATGACGTAGTAAATAATAATAATGTGAATTGTTTGACTGTGAACCGAAGCGATAATAGAATTTTCAGTAAATATCATTTTATTTGTGTGTGGGCTGTGATACTGCCCGGGTGCCCAGACCGAAGCAGGTGACCGAAAATTGGTTCATAAGCCATTTGTTCCCACAGGATACTGGAACCCATGTGCACCATTGATTTGAGATCCGGTTAAAGCACCGGACATTTGCTTTTCGTCCTCTCATTGTCGTAAACAACACCTCCTCCACGAGAAGCCAGTGAGTAGGACTTCCCTGGCAGAGGCTGTATACGCGTGGCCATGTGAGAGTATTTCGAGAGGAAGGGCGGACTCTCCCCACTCTCGACCGTAATAGGGCATTTGGAGGCTACACGTAGTTCCTAGAGGAATTGTCGAGGTACTGGAATTTGTGATGATTGACTGGAAATTCAGTCACATATCAGATTAATGTGATGGTTACACTTGTCGAACCCTACAGACAAAATTTTTCAGTGGATTATAGGATTCACAAGCAGTTAGCTAGACAACACACATCTATTTAGAATAATCTCTAACCAATCGGGCATACAGGTAATATCAGGCACGAAACAATACATAGGTCAGGGAAGCAACGAAAGACAAGAGACCGAATCTCTTCGCATACTTGCCAAGAATGGTTTTAGCTGGTAAGGGGCACCTCGGAGTCTGCAATAATATATTTCAGTGCAGTCGTTACCAACCTATAAAGTGGTGAGGTCTTTATGATGGGATAAATGCCTGAATAGTTGTTTTTGCAACAGTCTTCTCTTGGACAGAAATGTTAGTGATCTCCTTGCTTTGGCTCTTCTATATTAAATAAGTGGGGGAACTCTTCTTCAAATTAGAGCGTAATCAGGGGTTAAACCGGTGCTTCGAAAGGGACAAGTCTACCGAACCTCTCATGTTAGTAACTTGAGCTTAGTTCACACCCGTTGCAAATTTCCGCTAAGATAGTCTTTCCCTATGCATGAAGCTAATGTCGGTGGTTATTCGGAGTTTGTTGAAGAGTGCGTGAAAAACAAACAGTCACTCACTGACTCTGGGAGAACTCCCCGGGCACTAGACAGAGAGTGTTGTCCGCTAAGTGCGGGTTTCCCGCCCAGTCTTCACGTCATAATTGCTGAGAAGTACTGCAAATGCCCACGGCATGCAATCCGCACTTAATCAGTTGGCAATCAGTGTCCGTAGGTACGGTATGTGCTTTGCACCTTCGAAGTGCAAAGTACTTCTACAAGACTGGCAGGATCCTAATCCTGGATGGTGAGCAGATAGAAGTAGTTGAGAAGTTCGTGTATCTGCATAAGTGCTGGTGGGGGTGTGAGTGATGAGATCAATACACGTATAGTGAAAGCCAGAACGGCTTATGCCAATCTGGGCCATCTTTGGCGCCTTCGTGATGTCAGTCTGGCCGTAAAATGTCGGATCTACAACGCGTCGGTGAGAGCAGTTTTGCTCTATGCTTGTGAAACCTGGCCTCTCCGAGTTGAGGACGTTAGACGACTCTCTGTGTTTGATCATCACTGTCTCAGAAGGATTGCTGATATCCAGTGGCAACACCATGTTAGTAATGCAGAGGTTCGGCATCGTGTGTCCGGGCACAGAGATGATAATGCAATTGGTGTCACCATCTTGAAACACCGACTTCGGCGGCTTGGGCATGTTCTACGAATGTCGTCCCAGATAATTCCACGTCGTGCATTATTTGCCGACTCGGACTGGTTGGAAAGAGTGGAGGTGGTCAGTGCATGACATGATGTCGGGGTATGAAAGAAAGCTGTAAAGAACTGGCTTGTGTCGGTCCTTCGCGACTGCCTGGTTGGGGTCCGAGAGATGGTGCTACACAGTGGCTAGAAACGCTATCATGTATGGCTCAGAATGGAAGCCAGTGGCGATCCTGCTGTAACCTTCTTCATAAAAAGTGGTTGTTTATTCCTTGGCTGAAAGATTTCTTCTGATTGTACCCTTCTGTTCCCCTACTATTGCTATTATTATTATTGCACTAACTTACACCAATCTCTTCATTAGTTTCTTTTTTAACTATTATTATTTCTTTTTTACGTTCCTCACTCTTTTTCTTAGATTTTCATTGTTATGTGTGGTGCATATATGTTCGGCGCACTCCTGTACCAATATGTGTTCAAATAAATAATCATAGGTAATGCTCGCTAGGGACGGACGTTTGGATGAGCTTGTATACAGCAGGCAGTCACCATCGCCAGTTAGCCAAGCTGAGATATCGTAGGATCCACCTCCATCCAACCGCTCTAGCTAAAAGAACGCTAGTATTGTTTTCTAGCACATGTGACATCACCACTATTTTTTGGCCTGTCTTCATAATTTTATCAGGCTGCGGCACTCTAACCGACATGTTTAAAATCACTATTATTAACTGAAATCACACTCAACTTCTGTTCGGAATCTCATCAAGTGGTCCGTTAAGAGAGTGATGAGACTGTATCACGCGTGTTAAAAACATCGAGAGGATGTGGTTTCGACAGAATTATCACTAGACAGACTGCCAATGTTCAGGATTACTTGCACGAAGTGACTAAGCTATGGTAGATCGAAACGAGGTTGTACATCCCGTGATCACTAGACAGCGTTGGAGTTTGCCTAGCCCGACACCTTGAAATTCAGCATATACGGATTAGTCCTAACTGTCACACCATCAGTAGCACTTACACTAGTACCCAAATGCAAGACGTAGGTGACGCACGTCGCAAGCCAACGATGTTTCTAAAGACCATCCGACAAAAATGAATTATTTCGAGCCGTAATGTATGGTTTAAAAGACAGATTACATCCTGAGGCGATAACAGGAAGCAATTATATGTTCAGATCCACAATCATGTCTGTTATCATCGCTTGCAGTACGGAGATGAGAAACCGTAATACATCACTTGATGCAATCTATTCATGGATCTAGAGACCGGTCTTCTTGACACCAGTATGATATAAATGATCGAGCGGTTTGAAACTGCATGATCTGAGTGGAACATCCGGAATCGAGAACGAACTACGTAGTACCATGTTACGACTTAGTGACTAATTTCGAATAGCTGAGCACACAAAATACTTGATAACAAGGTTCATATAACCCCACAATTTAAATAAGAGCACTCTGTTCCGGAACCTGTGTTTAATATGATCAACTTTATTACGAGAACGATAAGAAACACATGGCACTTGCATACTCAAACCTAGTTTTCACGAATATAAGGTTTATATCACTGAATGAACCATTTAAAACACGCAATCAACACCAACAAAGCACATCAAAAGTATTCTGACGTCCAAGAAATTTGATTAAGTTTATTTTTTGTGTTCTACAGTGGCTTTCTTTTCTCTTCTTTTCTGTTCCTTGATAAGTTGTTTTAGGACTTTTTGTTCCTCCATCATAAAAGCACGAATGATCCTATCAATCACTAGGATGAATATAAAACCTACCGATTACGGACACAAGTATGACAGCGGGAACCACCATATGGCCTGTTAACAGTCTTCAATCTTTTACTCATTGAGGTTCTTTCACGCGGTCTGGACGGTTTGATACCGAAAAGTTTACTTTTGCAATCGCCACATTTTGGAAACGTTCCACGTTTTTTTACATAGATGTAGACAACCTTGCCACCCGGAGTTTTGACTCTAAAACAAAGATACTCGTGAAATACCCATACAGAATAGAATTGTAGAACATGCATATTTATTACTATTATAATACATTATTCCATAACCAAACCAAATACAGGTTTTGATAAACTTCACGCAAAAAGCATTGTATGAATTAGCTCAAGATGAAATTCCTTCAATATACCTCCACATACTAGCTTAAAATACATATTTTAAGCAATGGGTGGGAGGGGACCTTTATTTTATAGATTTTGCAAACGATATTGAGAGACAATGCCAGGTTGCTCATAACTTGCTGACTTTCCATACGCCGTTAAGAGAAACATAAGTAAACACACCAAATCCTATTGCTTTTAAGAGCTGATTCAATCCTCGATCATTTAGTGAAATATAGGACGTAGTGTAAGGAACTTACATCTACCTTATGTTATTAAACCACTGATGTTGTCCCAGTAGCTAGCTACTTAGAATACTACTAGCGATTAGAAAAACTTGACTCCGCATACATTAGCACAATAGTTTTTGATTAAGGTACACCTAGTTGTCAGTTGATGCATCTGGCAGATATTTCATTCTAGTACACTAAGACAACTTGACTGACTTCCATGGTTGCAAGTGCATGTTAAAACTAATAGAACATAAGTTTGGATCGATATGTGGTAAATAACGGACAGAATACTCAAGGGTGTGGGCTTCAATTACACACGTTTTCCTAAGTTATGATTTGAGTATAGTAACTGTCTGGTCGAGTATGCCAATTTAGAACAGAAAATGTCAGCCATGAGATTACCGTGCCAAAGCCCGGTCAGTACAAGGCTATTATTTTGACCCTCATAATGGGCTACAGAGGGTGAATTGAAAAAAAGATTGAGTAAATAACACTCAATAAGTAATAACTCACTTCTTTCTCTTGTTGGAATTGGTATTATACGATAACCTACGCCTTAAAGTCAACCGCTGCATGCTTGTCAACCAATAGTTGTGCTAACAATATGAGAGAATACAAACAAACGGTACACTGTTCAATACAAATCAGTTAGTTTCCATTTTATGAAGAATGGAACGCTGTGTCTATGTTGGCCTTACTGTTGTATTTCTTTCACTTAGTTTAAAGTATTTTAAATAAGTTTGCAAAAGGGACTGTGACAACATTTTTAGATAACAAGTTTCATTTGTCGATAACTCTATTGGAAAATAGATAGAAAATCAACGGTGTATGTGCAGCCTGTCCGACTTGGTTGAATATCAGTTTTACTTCTGACAGTGACTGGGCTATGGTCATCGTTGGTTTCATCCTGTTTTCTAACTTATAAACCACTCAACTCTGTCTAGATCGCTAATTTCAGTAGGTAACTGAATACCCAGTAGACAAGAGTAATCTTACTTTCTCTGCAGACAAATAGTCTCAGGTTTGTAAACTCTTTGGAGTATTCTTGTGAATTTTTCATTCTTCATGGTCTGAAAAATTAACTCTTGTCATTTGGAAAGAAATCATTAGTTTTTAGGAATACACGTTATATTATTTTAAGTTTTCCAGTTTGCAGGAATGAGGACCAGTTTCTCAAATTGAATTTTTCGGAGAATACTCTATACTGTAGCTTGAATGGCTTGACATCTCAGTGATTAAACGCTTCACGTACTGCCTAAAAGATTATGAATACTTTGACTATACTAAACAGCAGCGTGCAGAGGTTTCCAAGCTCTGACTAATAGTACGACCACGTTTACTATATGACCTGCCAAATGGTAAGTAGAAATTATTCATTCTGTATTCATCTGTATCTTAATCACCAGTATGGATCATTATGCAATCGGACACATTTATTCAAAATTGTTGAGTGATAACCTGTTCTGTTAATTTAGTTACACCTTTCCAACAGTGTTTCCTTCGTTTTGTACCCTTTCTTTTCCCGTATCATTCGTATATAGCAAGAGAGAATGTTATAGGAAATCGAGGAGATAAAACAACTTATAATATAAAATTATTCGTAGACTGTAAAACATTTTCTAATTAACACTCACTCTTTATCTCTGTTCAACAAAGAACCACTTCATCGATAGAATGAATTTACATTTAAATCGGATGGCACAGAACTTGTGAAAGTCTTCTAAACACCATATAAAATCTCTGAAATATTCTCAACTCACTGCTTTTGGCCATCAGCAGATTGCATAAATGGTCTTCTTTCAAACTTTTGTTATCATACTGACGTGTTCATTTTTAATTATTTTTAATCCGTACTTCCTTAATAATTCGTCGAATGAGATAAAAGCATGCAAATCACAATGTAACTATTACTTGTAGCTCAAGTTTCTTTAATTTCAGTGACATATTTTGATGCAGACGTGACTGATAAATGGTCGAACTATCTTACTATCAATTCTTTCAGAAACTCGAAAATAAGGTGCAACATTGATTCGATCAGCCAGAGGATTGCTCCTACTTATTTTGGATAACCATTTGAAAAGGTAAACGTGAAGATCCGATCTGTTCATTTGGCCACCAATCGTATTATCACGAAAGTATATTGTCTTATCGCTCCACCTTAGGTGTTCTGGCTTAGAGTGGTAGCATAATTATTCTATTAGTTTTAAGTACTCTTCATCCAAATTCGTTGTAACTAATCTAGTATGTTATGTACGCTTGTATATTATCAGGAAAAAGTACCTTACACTAGATATTCTTAGTAGGTTTGCTTTTATAGTCATAGTTATAAATACTTGGTTTCACACTAGATAGGTGACTGAACGATAAGAAGTGAGTCGACTTTCAAAAAATATTACATCATCTGTTGGCAGGTGTAAAGGTAAAGAATTTTTCGATCGATGCTTGAAGGACTGAATATTTTGCCAGATAATTGTAGATATAAAGGTACCATAGATATTAGAAGTTTAAGAGTGCATTTACACGTGACACCTTTATCATAGAAGAATACCAAATCAGCCAAATCAGAAGTCAGAAACGAAGGGGCTCGAATATATATTTGCAGGTCTATCGTTATGTCGAGAAGTGTTTGGTCTAAGCTTGCTAATCACTGCAAAGAATGCGTAGCACAGCGTACTCATCCGTGATCTGGTGCGGGTGCGTGACCGAGCTCTTTCAGTTAGGTATGCCGAGTAGAATTAATGAGGTTATCATCAATGCCGATGTTATGATTCGTTATTCGCTTGAATGCTATTACTGGTGCGTCTTACTCAACGGAACGAAGGATCAGTGACTCAGCGACTCGATAGCTATTCTGGTTCGTTGTCCCCAACTCTGCTAACTCGATCAAGAAGTCTGGGTAAGGTGTAGGAGTGTATTCTGCAGACACACAGCAGATAACAAGTCAAGTCAAACACACAACTCGCGCGTATTTATACAATATTTACAATCGATATTGTCATAGAAAAATTGTAAATACTAATCAATGAGTTCATAAATTGACCTATTTGCACATTTAATCGATAGTTCATCAATTGACCTATTTGCACATCTAATTGATAGGTTCATCAACTGACTGCTATACAAACATTTAATCGATCAGTTCATCAATTGACCCCAATACAAATGTTTAAACATTTAATCAATAAGTTGATCGATAAGATAAAATTTAAAAATATGAGTTTGGGGATCTATCGTCTCCAACAGCCGAAGACTTATAGAGCTGTTCATTTTTGGAGATTTATTAACAGCTCCCTACCCCTTCTAGTGGAATGGTGATGACCCTAAGGCGTGGTTAGGCAGAAGTTTAAATCCGACAAGCTTGTCGTTGGTGAACTATTTTCTGATAGCTCGCTGTTACCAGTAGCATAGAGTCGTCTTTCTCCAATATAAGATGCTATGTTGCACAGTGTAACAATAAAATATGTACAATCAAAATTTCCATTCATTGTATTCTTTGTCATATTTTCATCTTTTCCGGCCGTTCTGGAACGAAACAAAGACATTGCAAGTGCACGTCGAAATAAATCGTCCGTGCGTAACGACACAAAACGTGTGAACAAAGATAAACTGGTATACATGTGCAATGTTAACACGCAAAGCGTAACAACAACTTTTGCATAATCATTTTTTTAAGGGAAAACGTATGGACATATCTGAGCGACTTTGGTCTTCTGGCACGACAATACAAATAAACGAGATAAAATAAAATGTTGTTCAGTGTCCTACATACAGTAAGCGTTTAAGTGTTCCGGGAACCTTAGTCTTCTTACAGAGTGCGTTGTTTTAAGCCAGTTGTCAGATACCAGCGTAGATTCTACGTGGTTGTTCATAATCGGGAAGGGCATCATGACTGTGAAGTTCATGTCATTCTAGTGCAGATGAAGAAAATCAACATTGTTATGGTTTCCTTCTAAAGAGATGCTTTAAAAACAGACAATGCTGGCGTTAGCGTTAGCTCCGTCTCTATCAATGGTATAGTATTTAGGTTTACGATGAAGAAGTTTGAAGGACCGTTCGTATGCTAGTCCCAGAGGTCGACGTAAGGAATCACAACGTTCAAAAACGTGTGTACTATAACGTAAGATAGGTTGAACGAAAACATCAGTTGGCTGTGGTAGAGTGGAAACAGGTTTAGCTGAACGTACTGCGTTTGTAAGCTTGCTCCAGTAAGAGATTAGCACCTTGAAGAATTTGAAGGATACACAAATTCTCATGAAAGTCGGAGTTTTGTTGTGCCACACTATATCCAACGTCGACTTCACTGAATTGGGAGTACCGACGAGTGTATGAGCATTGGTCCGCCGTGAAACGTTTATAGCTGAGAGTTAAACTTCCAGCTGTCAGTGAGATTGCCCTACCAATCCATTAGCTTGTGGGTGGTTGGTTGCTGTTCGTAATTGTTTAATTATTAGTAGTGTAGTAAGGCAACGACAAAGTCCGGATTCGAACTGAGGTGATAGTTGAGAGTCAGCCGGTCTTCTACTCATCGCTCTACAAAGGCGCGCGTCACTGTTTCAGCACTAATGTCCTAAATAAACGCTGCCTCTGGTCATCCTGTGAGATAGTCTATACACGTTATAGGTAAGGACATCAATTTGGATCTGCTAGGGGTCTTTCCAAATCATAACGAGCAAGGTCGAAACGAAATTCGGGAGTTTTTAAGAAAGCCCAAGGGACATTTGTTACATCAATAACCCTGAATTTCCGGCGGTTTACATAAGAGCATGCTCATTCTTTCACGTCTTTATTCATATCAGGCCAGCGAAATCGTTCTGCGATGAGCTTAGTGACTGCTCGAACACCTGGATTGCAAAGTCTGTTCACCGTGTTGAGGACATTGCGTCAATGTTCCAGCACGATCAAGCGATCGTACCTGTGGAGGTATGACAGCAAAGTTTTCTTGCTTTTTTCCATCTGTTTAAGCCGTAGTTCCAGATTTGCAGAAGATCACTCATGGTGAAGATCACTGTTTTATTTTTGAAGCTGAATAGTTCTTAAGTCCATCATGTGGTCGAATTCGTTTTAGGCCTACTTCAGCTTTTCGGGAGCTACTCAACGTGGTTTTGAAAAAACGGATGTTCTTTTAATCATGATGTAGTTTGTAACATTGCTGGTTACGTATTGTAACATTGACCGCGTTTTGAAGATTTTGGGTTATTGTCGAGTATCCGTTGATAGTATGGGTTGATTATTTGCTTAACAGTGACTGAAGACAATATACAACCACAAAATGAAGTTGCTAACCTATTTCTGCGCTTGTCAATAAGCAGATTATTGTGTTGTAGCAGGTTTATACCAATGGTTGGTATAGAAACACTTGCAACAACGAAGATCCAGTAGACGGGTTGGCATTAACCAATGTTAAGGTACACATATTGCTTACCATGTGTGGCGATCAATCATCAGAATTCGCTGGAAGAACGCTAACGTCTGTGCCAGCGTTGACCAGGTAACGAGCTTTCTCAGTTACACCAGTGATGTATGATAGACAGCTATGTTCGCCTCCTTCGGTTGCCGTTAACGCACGCTGGCTGGGAAGTTTCCCGAAACGTCTTTCATGTTTATTGGTTTGGGATAGGAAAGTTGACGGGTTTTCCGTAATTTCGGGATTTTTCATACTGATTATGATATCAGCACCAACCAGGTTTAACAAC